GACATTGAAGCTAGTACTCCATTGATTAAATGACAATAGACATTGAAGCTAGTACTCCAGATTGATTAAATGACAATAGACATTGAAGCTAGTACTCCAGATTGATTAAATGACAATAGACATTGAAGTTAGTACTCCAGTTTGATTAAATGACAATAGACATTGAAGCTAGTACTCCAGTTTGATTAAATGACAATAGACATTGATGTTAGTACTCCAGATTGATTAAGTGACAATAGACATTGAAGTTAGTACTCCAGATTGATTAAGTGACAATAGACATTAAAGTTACTACTCCAGTTTGATTAAATGCAAATAGACATTGAAGTTTGTACTCCAGTTTGAGTAAATGACAATAGACATTAAAGTTACTACTCCAGTTTGATTAAATTCAAATAAACATTGAAACTGACATACACATACCTTTCCTGAACAAGTGGATAGACTTCTGACGTACACATACCTTTCCTGAACATGTGGATAGGTAATGTTCTGAAGGGGGAAATGGGCTCTGAATTAATGCTGCACCAGGACTGGACAGCCACTGACTAAGGATTGTTTTCACTGTACGCTCCTTCTTTTCTGGACGTAGACTTCCGGATTCTTCATCTGCTCATATTTATATTAATTTAATCATCAGAAAAATATTTTAATTTCATGGTAAAATTACAAAGTTAAACAGCAAACTTGAAAACGTACAATTAAATGCTATGCATAATGATTTGCACTGGTATATATTTTGTTTAGTATCTCAATATCAAAGGGAACAAAAGACAACTTTCTAAAAGTAGGAAAGATTTTTCAGGCAAACTTCTCCAGTCTTATATTTATTACAATTCATAGATTTAATATATATCAATATGTATAGGTACAGAAAATAAAACAATTTTTCTTGTTGGTGTATAAACTAAACACTATCTCATTTAACTTTTTCAGCTCATTTTTAGTTTTCAACTGATAACTCTTTACTATGCTTATTTCCCTGATTAGGAAATACAGTGCAAAATTTCTTGTTTAAAATCTAATTTGTTATATAGCCAAAATCTATATACATTTTTAAGCATCAAGAAAGAAAATATACATGCACAACTTACCTCCATTCTTAGTACTACTTTTAGTCACCACACTATCCGTAAATTTTTCAGTTCCGTCAGATTTTGATCTTTCGTGACCTCTTCCTGGTGATGATCTCAAATTATCTACATCTATTATACAATAAAAACAGACTTTTAAAGTAATAACACAACATAATGTATTCCTTCACATGAATTACATATTTCTATCAGAACCTATATATGGTCAACGTATGCACAATACATTGTCGTCTCACAAAAACAAAACAGTGGTCTCAAATATATAAAGTGAAAACATGTTTGTTTCATATATCAGGTTTAAAAGATTTTAATTTCAACAATAAATATAAAATACTGATCAACTACAAACCTGAATGGTTTGAATCACTAGAAAGTTATGGTATATTGGAATCTCCTGTTTTTATAAATAGATCTTGACATTTAATCATTCTGGAGTACTAACTTCAATTTCTATTGTCATTTACTCAAACTGGAGTACCAACTTCAATTTCTATTGTCATTTACTCAAACTGGAGTACCAACTTCAATGTCTGTTGTCATTTACTCAAACTGGAGTACTAACTTCAATGTCTATTTGCATTTAATCATTCTGGAGTACTAAAAGTCTATCCACTTGTTCAGGAAAGGT